TGGGGTCCCTGTTCAATTAGTTCAATCGGCGGAGCCGAGTTTTAAAACACTGGATAGAAGTGCAAAACTATGTGAGTTGATTTTATTATTCTTAATGACAATATGGAGGTTTTGTTCTCTAAGCATATTCAATGCCATAAATTAAGTAACTCTAGATTATGCTAAAACATGTATTAGAACATATAGAATAGCATTTAACAAAATGATTAAAACATGTTACACAATGCAAGATAAACGTATTTTTATTATTTTTGTTCTTCATATTTTTCACTAAGAACAATGAAGTAAACTTTTATGGTTTTATGGTTATTATAGTATAAACAAAATTTTAGTACTTTGATCTTTTGAAGCATTGAGATGAGTATCTAAAAGATTTTTTGCTAATTAATCTGATGTTCATGTCCAATCTTGCCTTCTTAGTTCTTAGCTTCATAAAAACTTAGATACTGCCATGTTGGGTTTGTGAGATTGGTTTTTCAGCATAATATTTTTCTTTATTTGATTCACCATACATTAGATAAGTTTTGATTAAAAAAAAAAACCTTGTTATTTCTTCAAATTAGTAAGATGGAGGTGTTTCCAGTAGAGTATGTTTTTGTGTGCTTGCACAAGCCTAAGGAGGAAGATCTCGTATGCTTGTAGATTCCATTATGAAATAGAGTAATAACTTGAGGATGGACTAATTGCAATGGGTGAAAAATTGTACATTCCTGTGAAAATGTTCTTTACAAGGAGTTGTTTTGGGAGATGTATAAGCCTTAACCCTGGTATATTTAGCTGAAGGATTGTTGGAGTACTCATATTAATGGTTTTAGATGTTAAACAATGTACAAGTGTGAATGTTGTTAATATGAATTGCCTAATCTAGGCAGATCGTGACAATCGGTTTCACTGGATTTTATTACAAACTTAATAAAGGTGAATGATACCTTGGTTAATTGTAGCAATGGTATGCAATCTTCTTGCATTTATCATGTGCTTGCCCAATGGACAATGATAATAGAGTTGTTTTTCAAGTACATTGTGAAATACTTTGGAATACTAAAAGACATATCGATGATCACGATGTTCAAATTTAAGGCTTAATCTGGTGAGCAATTTTTGGCACTTAGGGGATAGAATTGATATATTCTACTCCTCAAATTAATAGGCAAACTAAGTGGGTATATGTAACATTACGTGACAATAAGTTAACGAATTGGGCTAATTACTTGATGCGTCTCTCAATATAGCTTGCAACATCTATGGACCCTCAAGACATCGTTGAGTCTTGTAGAGTCCGTTATGGGTAGTGACCATTAACTCCGCTGAGAATATTGAAGAAAGGTGCCAAGTGTAAACATTTCCTATATATACTATGCTGATGATGAACTGTAGTCATGAGTCCTAACAATTTAAGGGTTTTGTGTGCTTTGGCAGTAGCAAAAGAAAAAACACAACGGGAATTTCTAGCGAAAATGCCACAAAAACATCCCAGAACAAACATGGGGACATCTATTTAATTATTTTGAAACTAAATCGTATACTAAAAATAATTACAACTATTAAGTTATCAACTGGAATGAACACAACAGTAAATATGAAAACTTCTTATCAAGTAGGGGGTGAGTTTGACAGAGCAGAATAAATCTAATATTACCCAATTCGCAACCCCAACTATTTCATGGTTTGCCTATGTACATCATTGCGCTTGCTCAAGTTGTGTCACCCAACAAATTCTTTCACTCTAATCTCCAGGCATCTCGAAGGGTGAGCTAGCCTGCATATCCCAACCAACAACAAAAACATTACAAAAGAAAATGGATCATCCTGCAGAACATTTCTCATAAAGTTATCAAAAGAATAAGAACAATTACATCAGTCTGCTAATGTTACATAGCCAGTAAGTTAGTATCAACTTTAAAAGTTCAAGTGCTTGCAATGGATTCGATCTGAGCAATCGAAAAACCAATGATTTGGAAGTTGTACATTTTCATGTTTGAAATCATAAGCAACGTAAAAAGCCATAATGATATTTGACCAAGAAACAATTATAATATACCTAGTTTGAGTAGACTAGAAGTACCAGCCTTAACTTAAGTAAATGACCTGAGTCCCATCTCCAAAAAATTCCCAGTCATTCAAGACGAATGCATCAATATTGGAAAAGAAAGCACTTACAATCGAAACTGATCCTGTCAAAGAGGATGCAGCTCATCGTTCCTCATCCTCAGGTTGAGATGTGCTTTCAGAATCTGGCAACACCTCCACCTTTATCTCTCTCGGCTCCCCATCCTCTTTCAACTTTTCCACCTCAATATCCATCTTTGCCAAATCTGCAGGTAAAACAGCGATGGTTTAAAATCATAAAATATTCAAACTAATAATCTTTTTATTTTCTTTTTTGATAAAACAACTAAATAACAACCTTCAGATGGATCAATGCAAATTATTAACTACAACATGGCATTGCAAACTAGTGAACAATTTGTTCTTTTGCTAAGAATTTATGAAGATTCATATGTACATAATGTAATATCCCTGATCACTGGAGTTGGTTTCCTTAGAGCCGTTGGGATATAAAATGCTACCTTATTCATGACTCAGGCCTCATGCTTAAGGTTAAGTAGTAACCCCTTCACCATAGGGGTGGCTGATTAAGATTTAAGCACCAATACCCAATAAAATTGGAAATCAGAGAAGAAATTGCTAGAGGGTTCAAAAATGGACCTTCATCAAGTCACCAAGAAAATGCCAATATTTTAATTGAATTTTTTACGACACTAATCCAAAACAAAATTCAAGGAAATCTTAATTACTCTCCTGATCATTAACAATCCAAAAAACAAATTCTCAAACAATAGTAAGGAAAATTTAATCTCTCAATTGTCATTAAAAAAATAGCCTTAAAAATAGTATTTTTATTTTGTTTTTTCTTGCAATTTCCATCGAATTAAGCATTATTATACCAATTTTATGTTAAAATCATGGGTCTTTTAAGCTTAAAGCAAACAAAATATAAAATTTTGAAGATATAAATGGATGAAATTTATTTTTCTTCTGCAAACAAATTCATAAAATCATAATGGGTGCTATTCATGTAAAGTCGTCCATGATTCTGCAATCCATTAGATCACAAGTTCATATTAACAGAATATCATCACAATTTTATTCCATCCAAATTTAAAGAGCAAATTTTAAACAGACCCATTAGTATAATCAAAATGTCAGTTATACCTTCGAGCAAAAAGGAGGAGCACGGCCAGCCACGAACAGTTGTGAGCGAGAGCGTCTCTTCTTCAGTCAACTGATTCGCCAACTTACTCATCCAATCAACGATCGTGTTCGGCCGCCGCTGCGGCGGCACCCAAAACGACCATCCCGGCATAAACGGCAGCCAATCCGGCGTCGCCTTCTGCACGATTATCTTCTGGACTATATCCTCCAGCTTCTTGATCGCCAATCTATCCGCTTCACTCTCGCCGCCCGATGCGGTGGAGGACGATGAGTCGAGGTCAATTTCGATCAGCTGAGCCTTGAATGAATGGTGGCGAGTTTGAGCGAGGAGAATCGAGGGTGGAGATTTGAGGTATCGATGGCGGTGTAAGGCTTGAGGAATAATCCTAGCCATAGATTTGATAATAAGTTTAAAGATTTAATTTTAAGTCAAGTGCTTGAAAGTTCACATGTTTTTATTTATACTGATGGGGGTGAAATTCTGTACGATAGCGGATGATGAGGGGGCACGTGGTCTGAAGGGAAGTGAGCACAATGTCACGTGATCATTGGAGCAACTAAAGGAGATTTTCTGTTGTTGTTAGTTGATAGGTCTATATTATTATAAAAAAATAAAAAGCACATACACCAATATATATATATATTTTTTTGAAGTAAATTTATTTAACTTTATATCTTTTTATAATTGTAAAATAAAGAATGTGCTATTTAAGAGAAAATGAAAAAAAAAGTTAATTAATTGATAAGAACGTAAAGTGTAGCACCAAAAAGTTATATATATATATATATATTTTTTTTTTTTTGGATAAATCTGATAATTATCTCTCTCATAACTCGAATACAAGACTTTGAGTATAGCTAATTTGGATGATTAAAAGGCTTGTCATCTGGTTACATGGGAAAAGGTATTATATATATCAATATATATATTCTAGATGGTTGGCAGTCTGTAGTCTAGTGTATTTTGACTATTTTTGTTCTTATCATTTTCATTAAGGATAATTAAGTTAAGTCATACAACTTTATAACTTAATATGTCATTTAAAGAAAACTTTTAACATTTTTAGAATTAAAATTAGTAAAAATGACTATGGATTAGAATATCTCCCAAAAAAAAAAAAAAATAGATATATTTTTTGAAGAGTAAATTTATTTAATTTTAAAATAAATAATGTGCTATTGAAGAGAAAATAAAACAATTTTTTAGAAATTGATAAAAACAAAAATTATATAAGTGATATTTCATAATTCACTAATTCAATCATATGAATAATTAATTAGATGCTATGAATACATGAATTGGGATAAAAAGTATATATATATGTGTGTGTGTGTGTGTGTGTGTAGCATTGATATTTCTAAAGTGGTGTATAGAAAAATGAATAACTAATTAGAAATCCAAGCCAACTATAATAATTTTGGGGGATAATACCCCCAAGATTTGGTCCAAACAACAAATCCCCTCAGATACTTGGAATTACGCAAAACTCGGTCCATAAACCCATAATACTCTTTTTGCTGCTATTAGAGGATCTTGCATTAAGCTTGTAATTGGTTAAAGCATTCTTGCGGAATGAGTTGTTTCCATTGCATTTAACAGGCAAAGGCCAAATATTCTGCTTTAAGATTATCAAACTTGATTTTCATACATGTGTTCCAAAAGGTAAATATGAAATACATTGATGGTCAATGGTTCCCAAGGAAAAAGAAAATATATTTAATAATTTACTGGGTTAACAAAGAATAAGCTTGTCACACTTTAACAAACAAAATGACTCTCCTACGTCAAAGAATTAAAGAATATACTGAAATTTAAAAAGCCAAAAAAAAAAAAAAAAAAAAAATGACCTCTAAAGCAGCATATGGTTACCCTGTTGTGGTGTTGAAGTATTTGGGTGCATGACAAATGGATCTCCAAATGGATTAGCATAATTTGTCTGCGGCATTTGTTGTTGAAGAAACTGAGTTGGCTGTTGATATGGTACCATCATCGATTGTTGTTGATTTTGCTGAAGCATCTGTTGTTGTTGCTGCTGCTGCTGCATTACAGCCATCTGCACATTGGGTGGGGCTGCTATGCCGTTGGACATTATGAATGGGTCGTTTTGTTGTTGTTGTTGTTCAAATGGATTTTGTACTGCCGCCAACCCTCCGTATCCATACCCTGCATTCTGCAGTTGTATATGTCTCCTTGCATTATTGTCTTCATACAAGCTATCAAGCAATAGCTTGTCAAATCCACCAGCCTGACCAAAAAACCAATGCTGACCATTAGATGGAATCATATTACAATTTATCGGGGTGGAAAAACTGACACCTAAATGCAAAACTTGTAATTTAGTACTCATTCCTACAACAAATCTATTCCATAGTTTCCAGAACAACGTTACATTATCGACAAGGTCATAGGGTTTTATATGAGAGATTATGAACCCAAAAAATAACTAACGAAGAAATATTCCAACAGCTGAGCTGGAAATAGAATACCTAATGAAGTAAATTTGATGGACTTAAAGCACAAGTTGATCTCACAAGAGGATTCACGTTTGACAAACTCTCTAGTCAATTCTCTAAAAAGCAAAGAATATTTAGAAATATAAACTTTACACCGAGCAAAGAAACTAACCAATTTGGTATCCACCACTCCAATGTTGTTGCTTGGTGTGGTAACAAGTGCTAGCTCCCATCCAGCACCAGAAATTTCATTCAAACCACGATTTGAAGATAATGGATCATTGCCTACAAAATTTTAAAGAAATACATAATCAAGAAAATAGTCAAGAGTTGGTCGGCATAATTTATGATAAGTTTTCTTAATAAAGGATATTAATTCAATAATTAAACCATGAATATGGTGCCAACCAGTAGAAAATATTATTTTTTTCTGAAATCACTACAAGCATCAGTTTCCATCTGGTTTCCCTTTAATTATGTCATATCACTATAAGAATTCTGATAAAAATAGGACAATTATCAGATTTCAAAGTGCATTTAAGTATCCTTGTTCCAGTATGAACTCTCAATAAACTGTTGGCCAGACATGCATGAATTTTTTTTTTTTATTGGTTTAACCAACGCCAAGAGACTTACCAGGCTGAACTATTGCAAGGGCCAATGCATTACTTTCCTCTAGTTCTGCAGCCTTTGGATTTACTTCAGTAAGACCCTGTACAAAATTGTTTAGGAACAACATACTTGTAATGCAACTGGTGGAAAAAATTGGAAGCATGGTATAATTGACAACTTACCAGAAGATCCGTGGTATCTTCCATTGGTATCAGTGGAGCAGCTTCTTCTACCACCTCCTCCTTAGGAGGCTGAGGTTCTTCCTCTGTTTCTACAAGGGATTTATTCTCCTCGATTATTTCTTCTTCTTCCTTTTCAACTTCTGCAGGTTCTTCCACTGGCTGAGGTATTTGTTCCGACTCATGATATTCCTGTTGTTAGAATAACATATTAATCACCACCCAGAGACAGACAGTGCCAACACACCTTCTACAAGTCAAAAGGTCAATTCAATTTATTTTGGGACAAGTCAAGAAGAATTGAAGATATACCTTATGCCATGACTATAGATAACCAGAAAATACATGCAAATTGCATACTGGTTAACAAATAATTTTATGCAATACAATTAAATTCTGCTTTTCCAAAGATGGAATCCACTATAAGAATTCATCAATATCATGAAACAAAAACCAGGCTTTCTCACATCTTAATCAGACAACAAGGAGGAACAAGATGGCTATTTCTAACTCAATACAAGGAAAATTTTCATCTCTGGATACCATATGAATTTGACATAATGAAAGTGACAACAAAACTAGTACTTTGTTTTTCCAGATTTTAGTTCCCAAAAGGGTTTGCAAGAAAAAACTCCAGTTCATCTTCAATTTTTGCCACAGCCAAAGTTTAAACAAATAGCGTGAAAATCATTGTTAATGGACAAGATAATGATATACTAGAGAGATCAGTTTAAATGATGTGTGTCCAGTTGATGAGGAGGATGTAAAACAAATTATTTCCAATGCTACCTGTGCACACACACACAAACTAAAAACAAGAAGAAAAATAAAAGAAAAGTATTCAATCTAATCTTGATTGAGAATCATACATTAACACTATTAAAGTATATAAGCAACCTATAACATGTTTATAGTTCAGGAATTATCACTATGGATCTTGCTCGGCAGTACAGTTGGATTCCAATGTAGGAAGTAAAATAAAACAAAGAATTACATTAAACTTTCATGAGATGAATGATGAATGCAGATATGGCATGTTATACTAGTTATGAAGATTGTGAAGTAGTAATATTACATTCCCATTTCCCAAGAGTGGAAAAATTGACTAAGGTGATTTGTGTTTTCAGGTTTATCCAAGCAGCATACAAAATCTAGCTTACTTTGGAAAAAAAAGGAGAGAGAAAAAATTTAAAATCACATATAGAATCGTTCTCACCAGTCTCTTCTGAACAGAACCTGTCTGAGGTGCTTCTCTGATGTATTCTTCCATTGTTGAAAGAAAAGATGGAGGCGGCTGCTTATTCAAAAAAATAAATTTTGTAAAACTCATAAAATAACTTTGACTAAGTTACTTCAGTTCAATGTCAAAGAGTAACCTGTCTCAACATTGGAAACTGAAAGTTCCTGGCAAGTTCCAAACCTTTGCAGTAGTCATAGAAGTCAGCAAGACTTTCAGCCTGTATAACCCAAAAAGTAATTCTTAAAACAGAAAGATTAAGCTGAAGAATAATTCTATTCAAAACAAGGTCATCCTAGATTCCAAAGAAAGCATAACAGAAAACCTGTTGGCCAGCTCTTTTGTAAATATCGAGAGCTTTAACTGCATCATGTCTTGACATATCAAAAAACTGCAGAAAGGTACAGACTTTTAACACTAACTTAAAAAGAAGCAAACTTTTGTTATAAAAGTGATCCAGTTCAAAAGGAAACTAAGAGCTGAAGTAAATCTTACCATGTCCACAAGGTTGATGATTCCATCATTGATGGCACAATATATTTTAAAACTCTCTTTCAACACCTATATGAGAAGAAATGTTGGAAGTCAAAACAGTAACAAACAATCAATGTAGAAGAAGTATTTAATCCTAAATTCAAGGTAATAAAATGTCATTCAGAAGCATTTTAACTATACACCAAATTGCAAGAACAAATATATAAACCAAAAATAATTAGCATGGATAAAAGATAACAAAAACGTACTTATATATTTAGCCCTTCTGACATAAGTGCTAACATATATTCTGGTTTTTTTTTTACATATATACAATAACTATAAGATTGAGAATTTTTGCATAAAAATAAAGTAAAAATAAAAAGAGAACAATTGAGGACATAGATGAATGTAATGTAGGTGCATGCTATTGAAAGACTTCACTTCTGAGCAAACTATAAAAAAAAGGAGTAGAAGCTATTCCCGGGATCAGATAAACCTGCATGAATTTAACCTTCCAAACTTATTAGTCAAATCACTTCCATGGGAAGTCAGGGTAATGATAACAAATTAATTTTTAAGGTCTGTGCACCTTAAGCAATAATATTTAATTCTTCTAGTTCCTAGAATATAAAGGAAAAAGAATGTTTTTTTTTCTTTTTCTGTAGAAAGAATGAATTGAAAAATTCCTCTTATTCATTTCAAAAGAGTTCTTAGCTTTCCCTTTTATTTTCCAAGAGCCAAAAATACAGCAAAAAAATATAAACTTCCAATTTGCAAAGTTCCAAAATTCAGCACTTGAACCACAATTTCATATCTTAATTTAGTATCCAGATTTCTTTATTAAATTTCTCAAAGAATACAAAACAAAACAGAATAAAAGTGCTCAATTTTTCATAGCAATGCCAATGCGTAGAACAGTAGAATCTGCAGAAAGAAATTGTGTAAATTTAATCACGCTTTACCAAGGCCAAGGCATACTGAACGAGATAATTGTGGTAAGCTGACCCTTCTGGCTGCAAAATTAATGTAAATTAATATGCCTCTTCTCATAAAAAGAAACGGTGGCTAATCAAGTGGTAAAAACATATAAGGCAGTCCAAGATTATAAAAGTTTTAACATTTAAACAGCCAAATAAATTGATTATGCCTGTATCAAATACTACCTGACAACCAATAAGGCGGTAAAGAAGCTGCTGCAGTGCAGGCAGCTGCTCCAACAATTCATCACAATTCAAAAGTCGTGTTCGACTATGTGCCTGTTACCATTAAGGGATACATATTGTGTTTAATCTTTCATGACAAACCTGAATTAACTCTCATAATATAACTCCAAATAATGTAAACCAGAAACCTTGGATGCCGTGGGAGATGATTTTGTCAACCGCTCTGACTCAATATCATATTTCAAGATCCTAAAACACTCAAGCCGCTCCTCTAGAAACAGTGCATATGTTCGAACCCATGCAGAGCAATCCCATGCTGCACATAGAAGTACCAATCTAAGAAGAAAACATTACCATATTCAAAATCACAAGTATAACCTACATGTGCCCATGGAAGTATTTCCAGTCATACAAGATTAGTAGAAGCTATATACCAAGAGGGCTCGAATCGTCTTTAAAATTGGATATTTGAAGAAAGTGTCCTCTGTGTGAATAGTTCAAAAGCTCCTCTCTGAAGGTAGGATCACCCTCTCTTAATGTCCTATGAATGACTATCAATGTCTTTATGGCAACCTGTAGGAATCCACAATTAAGCAAATTCATTACATTTTACTTTCACTTGAAAAAAAAATGAAATTTTCAGTGCAGCTCCATCACTAAATATTCATTGCTAATACTCCCAATAATCCAACTGCTAAAATCAGTATTATCTCTAAATTTACACCTTTATTTCAATTCCAGTAGCTATAATTACCAATTAAAATGAAAAAAAAAAAAATAAAAAATTCAATTCCCTCAAGTTAAAAACAAACAAGATTTGTGAAATTGAAATTGAAACCAGGAAAATATGAATGGCATTACAATCCAATTCCGCGTCTTCGACAATCTCTTCGCAAGTGCGTGAATGCAGTATGCCACGTCAGCCCTCGGGCGAATCACTGATGTTGCCGAAAATATTTCTACAATATTATATTCATGACCAATTCAAAAAAAAAAAAAAAATAATCTAACAATCAATTTATTCCATCAATCAAACAAATAAAATAAATAATAAAAAAAAAAACAGATCAAATGAATTCACTTACTTCGAACATGGCGTTCTTTAGGCGGACATTCAACGTGATTCGTGGCCTTCACAATCGCAATATCCAAATCCTAAAAACAAGAAAACACCAAAAAAAAAAAAAAAATTAATTATTGAAAACACAAAATACAACAGAAAACAAATTGAAAACAGAAAAAAGAAAGGAAAATGTACCTTATATTCGCTGTTGACTTTGGCCAAGCCAACCTGTGGAGTCCCTTGAGAGCTCCATAGGCTTTTCTAAAGCTCGTGAACGTTCCCATTTTTGTTTCTCTTTTTTAAAAATTTTGAAAAGAGAACACAATAGAAATGTTTTCAGTATTTCCGATTTCAGAAAACAGAAAGCGAAACGGAAGAAGAAGAACAAGATTGATTTGATGATGATGATTGATGAAAAAAAATTAAAAATATTTCTTCTTCTTTCTGTCCTCTTAACCGTTTTCTTTGTTGCCAACAACAAAACACAAATTTCTCTCTCTATTTGTTTCCAAAATGTGCGCAACGAAACATTCAGGGGTGTTTTGGTATTTTCACCAGCTTGTCCGGGCATAACTAATTTTCTAACGAAATCGAATCAATTTGGAATTCGTTTGATTTGAGAATAGAAAAAGGCGGGTATTGTATAGTTTATGGGCGAGATTACGAAAATGACCATAGTTAGAGTGGGATTGGATGAGGGGAATGAAGGGTAATTTGGGGATGAAATTAAAAAAAATAAAAAAGGGCAATGGAGATTAAGCCCTTGTTTGTTTGTTGGTGGCTGGCAAAGTGGCAATGTCTGCTTGACTCCATCTGTCAAATTTTGTGTAGATTTATTTGTTTATTTATATGGGTCAAATTTTGTGTAGATTTATTTGTTTATTTATATGGGTCAAATTTTCTGTAGATTTATTTGTTTATTATATATGGGAATGCCACCTCTCATCTCTGCCGTTAGATTGCCCACATTTTGATTCACGGTCTAGATCAAACTTACCATGATATTATAGTAGGCTGATGATATAAATTTAAAATAAAAATTGTTTTGTTAAATTTGGAAAATACATTAAATTTTTTGTTTCGGAGGAGACATGCATTTCTATTATAAATAGATTAACCCTACAGAGTTGGGATATTAATAAATTAGCCAAAATCTTAAGAAGTTAAAAGATTAATCCTGAGATATAATATAATAACAAAAATCTTTATGAGGTTCATGAAACAATAGAAATCCACCTGCCGTTAATGAACGGTTATTGAACAATTAAAATTTATATTATTATGAGTTAATAAATATTATCAAATTGTCATTTTACCTTTTATTTTAACATCTAAAACTTATCAAAGAGGAATTTTTATTATTTCAGAAACCTTAGAGAACTTTTACTATTATATCATAACTCAAGGGGATAAATGTCATTAACTCATAGATTAATCCTACAAAATTGGGATATTAATTAAATTAGCCAAAATCTTAGGAAGTTTATGTTAAATAGGTTATAATAATGAAAAGTTTAGAATGTGTGACCATAGTAATGTTAGCAAATTCATACAAAATCCTTTAATGAACTAAAATCATTTCCTTAGAGCTTGTTTGGTTCAACTTATTTATAGGCTAAAATACCTAATTTAAAGTTATAAGTATTTTAAGTTTTATTAAAGTAGTAAAATTTTAAAAATATTTGTATATCCTTTATAAATTTGACTCAATCTTTCTTTGCATAATTAGAGGTTTTTTGTTGTTGTTGTTGTTGTTACATAATTATTATATATCGAAAAAAGTATTTTTGCACTGCCATTTTTGTGCTTGCACTTGTTGAAAAAAAAAAAAAAAAAAAAAAAGATGAGCTCCCTCGTGGCCTCATTTTTTCTCGTTTTGTCAAACAATTTGAAGTTAGTACTGAGAATATCCAGACTATGAATTTGGTGGATATGATGGTTACACAATATCCAGTTGCAGAAATTATAGTTTTTTAGCTTGTGTTCTGTTAGGGCCAAAAATCGTCCTTTGCCCAAATAGGGAAACAGGGTCGGCAGTGAGGAAGAAAGCAGACCTAATCCCAATGAGGACCAAGTCGGATTAGGCCCATTTGATGCAAGGTATAGTCGGCCCAAACCATCTGGGCACGGGCTTCCCAGTTCCAGCTCACTTCCTGGGCCTGTACGCGAGTTCAGAGCCCACAACCCCTATATATCACTTTCCTGTTCCTGATCAATCTCCTATTCGAAGTTACTTTCCTGTTTGGGATCACCTTCCTACCTAGACACTTGTAAGACAGCTCACCACCGCCCTAACTCCTCTAGGGTTTGTATCAGAATCACACTAGGACTCCTACTCCTACCAGGATTGGGAGACCAGACAGTCACTATATAAACAGAGACCAGCCCTCTCACAAGACACATTACATTACACCTTCTCACCCGAAGCTCTTACTTGAGAGCTACACATCATTATCATAGTCACAATCTCCGATTAGACTTCCGGTAACCTCTCTACTCCCTAGCCCTCACTAAATTAGCATTTTTCAGCCTTGCTGACTTGAGTGTCGGAGTGCCTACAGCAAACACCACCTCAGTGTTTTCCGTTCGCTTCACGCATTTGTTTCTCTACGTGTGCAGGTACAGCGGATCGCTAGTGGCCTTAACCTCACTGGATCAGACCCCCCTTCTGTACAGGTAGATTTTTACGTCTACAGTTTGGCGCCCACTGTGGGGCCTTTAGCAATCATTCGGTTCAACGAACCTTGCTACGTAGAGGAATTTTCCATGGCTGACAACTCTGACAATGCTAACCCCGTCCTCGAGGCCAAACTGGAGGCTCTGACCGCCCTCATGCAACAAAACTCGGACAAGGTACCCGCACTGGAAGCCGAGAACAATGCAATCTAGACCGAAAACGCATCCATCAGGGTAGAAAACCAGTCTCTTAAAGAGAAGGTGAGTCAATTCTATGATCTAGAGTTTCTGCCTGGCTAGGTATCTCCCAATCGGTTCCGCGCCTCTGTTCCATCCATGCAACCTTTCCACACACTAGAGCACCGACTCTAGGTCTCCGGTAAAAGGTTGCATCCATTAAGCTTATCGGCGGTCGACGATTCTGTCCTGACTCATGGAGAAAAAGATATGCCAATAGAACCCCATTCAGCTGACCCCTCTTAGTCTCGAGATCAAGGCGCCCTAGTGACAGAGAGCCTGCACCCGCAAGACCAGTCCCTTCTTACCATCCAGCCTCACCTTCAGTCAACCATCTCCACCCAAACGCCATTCGGCTCGGCTCACCCTCACGGGTTGAACGGCCAACCCAGCCAAACTATAACACTCAAGCCCACCCATCCTGACGGATCGACCAATCGACTATCAAACAACCCCCCTAACCATTCGTGTAGGGTGAAACACCAGATCGGTTACCATGGGAGTCATCTAACCAGAAGGAGTGAACGAAGATCCAAGCTACCAGGGTGTGCACGAAGCAATGATCCACTAAATCACACCACGCGGGATGGTCTAATGGAATATGCCGAAGACGAATGCAAAGGCCGACCCGATCAAGCGGGATGACCTAGTGGTGTCCCCCTCTCCTATGGAATAGGTACTAGCCAAGAGGCTGGCTGATGTAGAGGCAGTGATGAGGCGCATCCTAGGAATGTCGGTCCCAGTCAAGAAAAGCAGGCCTCACTGCTACACTGACTCGCCCTTTGTGGATGACATTGCCCTAGCTGACATGCCCTAAAAGTTCACCATCCCCAGCATGAAATCCTACGACGGCACAACCGACTCGGATGACCACATAGCCTCGTACAAGCAGTGGATGTTCACTATCTCAATACCCCGAGCGCTAAGGGAAGCCTGCATGTGCAAAAGCTTTGGTTCAAGTTTATCTGGTCTAGCACTCCAGTGGTACACAAACCTCCTGAACTGTTCCATCGACTCATTCGCTCAGCTCACCGACACCTTTGTGGAACAGTTCACCAGCAGCAAGAAACTCGAGAAGCTGTCAGCCGATCTATACAGAGTATACCAGAGAACGGGAGAGCCACTAGTAGAGTATGTCAATAGATTCAACAAAGAGAAGATCTCCATCCCTTCTTGTAACCCGGAGACAGCCGTAGACGCCTTCAGGAAGGGCCTTCTCCCAGATGGAGAACTGTACAAGGAACTGACAAAGTTGGGGTGTACCACGATGGAAGATGCTCTGGCCCGAGCAGTGATCCAGATAAGATGGGAGGAAGATGAGATAAACCGGGCAACTCACGCCAGATACGACCCAAGGCGGAATGACAGAAAGCCAGAGCACAGATCGATGGAACATCGCTATCAACCCCCAACACGTAACATGCGCAGAGTCCGGAAGCCCTATGATCGCCAACCAACGAGAACCGATAACAAACAGGTCGGACTGAGCCGATACAAGATATCGGAGTATAACCTCATGTCAAACCGGCCTAGGTAGTCACAATAATGAAAGGAATGGGATCCACCGTTAAGTAGGGGTGTTCAAAAGGTTCGGTTAACCGCTTTTCTAAACAGAACCGGATTTTTGGTTTCGGAAAATTCCCAAACCGAAAAACCGGTTAACCGTTTCAAAAAAACCAATTAACCGGTTTTTAACCGGTTTTCCCTTTTTTTTTTATAAAACTTTTTTTTTTATTTTGTCATAAATTAAATTGTAAATATAGACAATACATTGGGAACTAAGAAAAAAAATTTGGGTTGGGATTTTAGATTGAGTGAATTAGGGATTTATTTTAGTTTAGGTTATATATATTTGAAAAATCGGTTTAGAAAACCAGTTTTCGGTTAATCGTTTCTAATTTCTCCCGAACCGATAACCGAACCAAAAATTTGGTTTTTTTGAATTTTTTAAACTGTAACTGAATCGTTTTTTCGGTTAACTGACTTTTCGGTTCGGTTAGCGGTTCGGTTTGGTTTTTGCATTTTTTTGAACATCCCTACCGTTAAGTGGCCAGACAAGCTCAATCCCCAAGCCAAGAAAGACACAACCAAATGGTGCGAGTTTCATGGCGACCATGGGCATAACATTGCAGACTGCATTACCTTGCGGCTCGAGGTCACTGCACTTCTGAAGAGGGGACATCTCTGAGATCTGCTAACGGATAAAGAGAAGAACACCATTAGCTAGAGAAGCACTAAAGAAACATCACCACCCCCGCGGGAACCCACACAGAAAGGATTCTGTTCACTCATCTACGGGGGATCAGAGATCAGCGGGGTCAGTTACTCATCAGCCAAACGATACGCCAGAGCCAATAACCACCATGAAGTGAAGTCTATCCATCCGGTCTCATGACCACACTCCCATCAGGTAATTCAGTTTGAAGA